TATATATGTGTGTGTGTGTGTGTGTGTATAAAAGTTATACAAATCTTTAGACAAAGAAGTGTTTCTGCTCAGAACAAAGTATAATTCATTAGTTTCCTCCAGGTAAGATTGGAGATAGAGACAGAGGAAATGAACTGTCTGTTATCTAAGTGTCACAGCTGCTGTCTCTGCTTCTCTTTTTTCTAACCTCTGTCCCCCTTTGACCCTCGTTCCTCTCTCAGTCTCTGGAGACGGCACTGAAGTACTGCAACTACTTCTTCACCTCCACCTTTGTGATCGAGGCCACTCTGAAGCTGGTGGCCTTCGGCTTTCGACGCTTCTTCAAGGACAGGTACGAGGAGACGCCCTGAGCTGTGACGAGACGTTATAACAAAGAAGCTGCTGACGTGAAACTCGCTGCTGCAACGATTTCCACCAAACTCTGTTTAGAATTCTTCATGTTTTAAAAGTTTCCTGCTGAATGTTGGAGATAAAACTCTGGTTTTTAATCTTCAGTTCCACACCTCTCACAGGAGATCGTGCCCACTCACCGACGTTCAGGGAACGAAAGAGGAAACATTCTCCACATTCACACTCGCAAAAATGTCAAAAAGCTGCTTCAACTCTTCATGAGCGACTTCAGAGTGGAAGCTCCAGATAATATTGACGTCAATGCCCACAAATCCTGCACAGCGCACATGTCCCTGGGTCGGACTCTTGTTTCCTTTTGCGTCGATGTTGACGTTATATTGAAAGATTATTCTGACCACAAAGCTTGTTTGTTCTGAACATCGACAGAAGAACACGTGAAATCATTTAGCCGGTGAACATTTTCACATCATCTAAAAATAAGCAGCCACAGTTTGCTTCTGTCTGCTGTTCACTGGTCGTAAAGTTAACCAGCTTTCCTGTGTGTTAGATAAATAGAAGACTCACATCTGAGGCTGAGCAGGTGGATTTTAATATCTTCACCTAACAATCCAGGAGATGGTCTTTTTTTCCAGCCGTGTGCTCAGGCCGGGGAGCAGCTGTGACGGCGTTGACATTCCTTACTATGTAGATTTTATTATTGCAGCCTGCGATCTATTTTTAAAGAATTGTGGGTCTGCCGGAGGAAATTGCTGTTGGTTATTTTTTCCCCCTCCCGATGCTATTTCAACGATCTCTCCCTTCCTCGCTGTTTCTGTCTCCTCCTCCTATTGTCTTCATATAAACAGAATAGTTAATGGCCATATTATAGCTTCCGACCCTCATTTTAATTCATGTCTTTATCTCTCCATCGCTTTGTCTTTTCCAGCCTTCCTGCCCTTGTATGTTTTCGGAAAACCCTCGGCTTTGTATGGCAACCTCGTGTTGTGTGTGCATGTGTGTGTTCGCTCACCCTGGTCGACCTGATCTGCGCCAAATCTGCTGCACGGGATCTGAGATATTTTCTGGGACGAGATACATTAGCTGTGGAGGAACATATTACCCCAGGCTGCAATTTTACAGAGTTAAAAAGGAAAGGAACTTCTCTAGATTGAAAAGATTCGGGGGGAATACGTTTTTAAAAAGTTTGTGAAGCTACGGTGCCTCTGAAGACGTCCCATCACACTTTGTTATGTTTGAATAAAGGTTGTTCTCACAGTGGGACTTTATTTTCTTCTCATAGTTGCAGCTGTGTGAAATCAGAGTTAGGCAAAATGTTTTATTTGGAAACTGCTCCTGAAGGACAACACGAAGGTTTTCAAGAATTCCTTGTGCTCGTCAGTCTCAGCTGTCAACTGATGTTTCACGTTGTTTTCATTGCCTGAAATAGTAGAACCCAAACTTTAACAAACATTAGTGCGACATAAACTATCATTGAGAAAAATCTATTTCACGTGTACTTTGACTTTTTAGTTTGGTCCTTGCCTCATGTGCTAACATGGAGGAGGCATGGTTTTAACATATACCGCAGCCAGCCATTAGGGGGCGACAGAGATGATTTGGCTTCACTTTCAGAAAGCTCTCGTCTTCGTTTACCGTCTATACAAACACCAAGTATGTGTTTGCTCTCGTGAATTCAGCTTTACAAAGAAACATGGGATGCAGTTATAACTCCAACTGTCTCATCGCGTAGAAAAACAACACAGAGACGCACTAAGAACTTAAATAAACCAAAAACAAAACAAAGAAAACTTTTCTTCAGTAACAAGGAGGCAAAAGAAATGTGTCTGTTTCAGTCACGAGAACATCGTTGGTTTTGTATCATTACATTTGGTCTCGAATCATTCGTTTGTTTTCCATCATGTTATTGGAAATATAATCACGTAGATGTGACGGGACTTGTTTAGACAAATGTCTGACAGCAGCGCTCTGTACTTTTTAAATGGCAGATATTTGTGATGATGAAACTCAACCGTGTTTTGTATTCACAGATGCATTGTGGATCACATGACTTCATTTGTCATGTTACGCACGTGCAGCTGCCAGTTTAAAATAAAAATGGCAACAGACGAGTGAACAAACAAGAAGCCGACATTTGCATAATATTGAAAATGTTCTAATTGTATTAGCATAAGTATTCTTGACGGGCCTTCAGGTAACGTTGGACGTGTTTCCTTCTGCCAAGTCAGTTGTGGGACAGTCATGCAGATTGTGCATAAAGTGGATGTAGGTCATTAATATTAATTTGAGAATTAACATAACACAGACCCTGAAGTGGTCATGACGTCCAGAGACACACACACCGAGCGAGCAAAGACTTCCAACTCCAATTCATTCTGCTGTTTGATGGTTTCACCAGATTCTATAGATTATAGTAGATTAAACTGTGTGTGTGTGTGTGTGTGTGTGTGTGTGTGCGTGTGTGTGTGCGTGTGTGTGCGTGTGTGTGTGTGTGTGTGTGTGTGTGTTTAGATGGAACCAGTTGGACCTGGCCATTGTGCTGCTCTCGGTGATGGGCATCACCCTGGAGGAGATTGAGATCAATGCCTCCCTCCCAATCAACCCCACCATCATCAGGATCATGAGGGTGCTCAGGATAGCACGAGGTACGCAGACACACACACACACACACACACACACACACACACACACACACACACACACACACAGCTGTAAACTCAACCACAGATTTATTCAGGACTGGATTAGAAACATGGACGTGAACAGTTGAAGTTGCTCAGTTTGCCTGAGTTTGACCCTTTATCCGATCAAAGAAGACGTTTATGGTTTTTCTTAGTTGTGGAATTGAATGATTGAATGTTGTAAAATGCGTTTGTAGGTGAATATTGTGGTTTGGAGGAAGATGGACGATGGATTTTGTGATGACTTGCATTTTCAGACCCTTCTCAGAAAATCCTATAGTTGTTTAATTCAGCCTAAAGTAAAGTCAATCTGATTCCACTTCTATCTTTCACTCACCTTTTTAATTTCACTCTTATTCAGCACCTCTTATTATTAAGAGGAAATTATAAAACTATCTGTTCCTGACCAGCTCCTCTCAACTTCACACCGAGGAGGATTAAGACTAATTACATCAACCTTATTTAGTCCTCGCCCTCCTTCCCTCGACCTCTGCCCTCTGCGATACTGCCCAGGGACCGCTGAGTGGACCTTTGGGTAAAATGCCTAATTAACCAGCAGCAGCTGGTAAATATTAATTGAGTGGTTGTGACTTTTACTCTTTTCTTTCCTCCTTTCATAACATTCTGACCACTCTCTCTGAATGTTAAGTAACTTGTGTGAGTGTGGGGAAGAATATTAACACTAAGAATATTTTTAAATCATCCACTTCTTCCTTTGGATGAATTTTAAAACCACTCTGAATAAAAGAGTTCCAGCCACACTGGTTGAGCAGTTTCAAGATAATAACTTAATGGTTTATTTATATTTCACAAACTATTTTGAATGTAAAATAAAAAACTAAAACTGTGTTAAACTGTGTTAAATCCAAAGAAAGTGACCAAATGATCATTTTATTTGACCAAAATAGGTAAAATCTTATTCCACGCTACAGTTTCTCTCAGCTCCTCCTGATTGGTCACAGGAGACGCTTTTGAATCCCAGGTGTGAACTGACGAATTTATGAATGTCCACTTTTGATTGGCTCTCTCAGGACGGGAGTTAATCCCAGGTCTGAAGTGAGTTTGGAGACAAGCTTCTCACAGCAGCTGCACAGAGCTGGATAATGATGTATAGAGATGCTCTAACCAGGCTCCCCCACATCCACACTCTCCTCCTGAGAGGAGTCCACCTCCCAGGAGGTTTTATTACGTGAACGGCCGTTTTCCTTCGCCACCCGACTACAGCCTTGGTCCCCCCCCNCCCCCCCTCCCCCTCTCTGCTTCAGGCCCCATCGTCAGCCTCGCTCGTAGAGAAATTGCACCGGTGGGAATTGCGGGGGGGCTCTAATGGAGAGTCGAGGAAACCTATTTCATCTACCGTCCATTTCTTATCTCTCTCCTCCTCTTTCTCCTCTTTCTCGTCTCTAGGTGTTTTTCTTCTATTCATCACATCAGCACACGCGTGCAGAGTATCACACAGAAACGCACTGTGTGTGTGTGTGTGTGTGTGTGTGTGTGTGTGTGTGTGTGTGTGTGTGTGTGTGTGTCAGTGTGTGTGTGTGGATATTTCAGCTGTGACTATGATCTCTCTCTTTCTAGTGTTGAAGTTGTTGAAAATGGCCACAGGGATGAGAGCTCTGCTTGACACAGTGGTCCAGGCTCTTCCTCAGGTATGTGCACACACATACACACACACACACAGACACACACAGACACACACACACACAGACACACACACACACACACAGGTATCCTCCCTGTGCTTATCACAAGCACACACAGGAGTTAATTAACATTTGTACAATGATAAAGGACCAGAGTGGATAGAAGCTCCCTGAGAATTGTGACATTCAGGAAGTCGGCCCTCGTTGTTCCGACTCTCTGCGTCTCCTCACACGGATTTAACATTTTTATTCCCACTGCTGTTAATGAGACAAGAGGAGCTGCTCCCTTGGTTCGGAAAGAAATTCTTTAACCTTTAATCTGCTTCATATATTTTTTAATATGTGTGTTACAGACAGGGAATGTGAGAACGTGTAATAACTTTAGTGGACTCAGTAGATATCAGAGGAACTTAGAAATAAAGTTTTCAGTGGAAAAACACACGAATGTTACTGGTGTGGACACAAACACAGTGAACGAACATCATATATCTCCTTTAAATCTCCGCTGAGGAAAATCAGTTCCACTGAAGCTCTCGTATCTTTTCGTACTGTGAGCAGAGGGGAGGAGTTTAAAAAAGTAACCTGCGGAGAGGAAGTATTTCACAATTTTAAAATGAATTCAAAATAAGATGTTCTAAGAGCGACTTTCCTTCCTCTCAGAGGAGCGAGATAAAAATGTCTTTATTCATCTTCTCCAGGTTTAACGTTTCTTCTGCTGCAGATAAAGAATTAGCTGAAGTTCTGCCTCTTTTTTTTTTTTTTAACATAATGAACCTCTAAAGCTTTTTTTCTGTGTTTTTCTGTGAGCAAACCAGAGAAAAATGCACTAATGGATGAGCTCTCTATTCAAACAGCTCTTTATTGAAGACATTTGTAATGGAGGGATTCTGGGAGCAGCAGGTTTTTGTTTTTTTTTACTGAAGCTATGACTTCTGTGGTTCTCTGAGAAGAACACAGGCTCCCCCACTTCAATCAAGAGACGCTTTTCCTTGTCCACTTTAACTTGTCCCTGCTGTCCCTGCTTTCTGCTTTGGACAAATTTCAATTTTGTTGGGTTTGATTTTTGAGGTAAAAGTAGAACACAATAAAAAAAATGGGGACAGATACAGACCAAATCTTCTTAAAGTAAAACTTAAAGATACGAATCCTTTGAGTGTCTGTGAAGAGGCTCACTGCTCCAGGAGAGAACAGCATTTGAAATATGAATGTAGATATAAAAAAACGGGAAATAACACGTTCTGTGACCCTCGTACGTTTGCCGGTCGGGGTTTTCGCTCTGGAAACCAAAGTTGTAAATATCAATATATTCCTTACAAGCTACAAGCTCCAGCAATCTGTTCCCGCACCACGGCTCTCTTTCACTCTCCGCTCGCAGGGAATCGAAAAAAAACCGTCGGCTGGGCTCATGTTACATCCTGCAACCTGCTTCAGGGCAAGTCGCTGATTGTTATATCCACCAGGAAACAGCAACGTGCTCGACTGGAGAGCCAGGGAAGGCGAGCTGTCCTCTGGCTTCGCCTCAACCTCTCAGAATCTCCCTTTCTCCCCCCTATTTCACCCTCTCCTCCAATAAAAACTTTACATCTCACTCCTTCCTAATCCACTCCCTCTCTGTTTATTTGCCTGTCCAATGGAATTTTACAGTCTCGTATTCCAAAGCAGCCCATCGCCTTCCCTGTGAGGTGACTGAGCTGATGGTGTTGAGCTCAGCGCCTGCTATCGCACCCCAGGGGGTCCTCCTACCCATTCGCATTGCGTATCGCTATCTGCGAACGCTGCGAGCTGCTGCACGGATGGATGATGTCAGAGTCAGCAAGTGAAATTTTGCCCCCGAACCGTGTAATAGAGTGATTATCCTTGATTTGAGGCGGAGAGGGTTTTTGTTGGCAGCTGTTTTAACCTCCAGCGGATATTTTAGCTTAGATTTTGCACAACAGGAGGAAGTGGAGTCATTTAAATCAAGTTATTTGTCAGACGTTGGACATAAAGATTCCTCTTTTCTTTTACTTGTTGGATAATTTGAAAATCTGTTCACTGTTTGTCTGAACGGTTTGGACGAGGAGTTATCTTGCAGTAAAAACAATTATATAACCAAAGTGGATCTCTTTGTGTGTGACAGGTGGGGAACCTGGGTCTGCTCTTCATGCTGCTGTTCTTCATCTATGCTGCTCTGGGAGTGGAGCTGTTCGGAGAACTGGGTGAGATCTACCGTCCTCTTAGTCAGAAGAGAAAAACAACCTCTGAATAACTTTAAATCAAGTGTCTTTATTTTTTTGTCATTATATTTTAGACAGAATGAAATGTTAATCACAATGAGTTAATCCTTCTCTCTCTGAGCGGAGCTGCTCTCAGGTAAATAGTTTAAAAATAGACTAATCCATTTCTATTTGGGGGGGGGGGTCGAACTCAGGTGACGTGAAATTATAATCAGTCAACCATAGAATCAGTGTGTAATGAAAATGATAAAAAGTCCATTATTCTCATTCAAGGTTACAGGAACTTAATTGAATTTGTTTTTTATTCCTCTGCAGCACCAACATTTCTAACTTTAATAAAAGCTCGAGAACTGCGGTGACGCTTTTTGTCACTTGGACACTTTTCCAACTCCTGTCCATTATCTAATAGATGTCAATATGCACTTAGTTGATTATTTTTATTAGTATTATTATTATTATCAGGAGAAACCTGCACTGGCTGGTAAAGGCATTCAACCACAGGGTCGCAACTGTTACCTGTGATCTACACAGAACTTTTCTCTCTCTAAACCTGTTTTCTCTCCCGGATCCTTATCGCCCCTCAGTGTGTAACGCCGACTACCCCTGCGAGGGAATGAGCCGCCACGCCACCTTTGAAAACTTCGGCATGGCCTTCCTCACTCTCTTCCAAGTTTCCACCGGGGACAACTGGAACGGCATCATGAAGGTACCGGTTTTATGTGTTCACACGACCCTCCTGACATTTTCACATTCGTCATCCGGACTGGGCCGTGTAATCGGCTAAGCTGATTGGTTGTTACATCCCTCTCTGCCGCCTCATCTCTCCGGCACAAATTGTCTTACACGAGGGGTCAACCGGAGCGGACCAGACTAAAGCAGCTGCAGCGATATTTACAATCACCTCCCAATTATATTTTACACCGATCCCCCGACGGACAGACGCTGGGACGTGATTATAATTGTTGGTCCTCGGTTCACATCCCAGGAGCAGACGGTGTTTAGACGAGGGGAACGAGAGCGAGCTGCGTGTCCTTCAGCGAGGGAGGGCGTCCAAAACATACTCAACAGAAACCTTTCAAGGGTGAAAGATTAAATTTACTTTCCCGAAATATGTTTGTATTTTATCCTCATCTTCGCTCTCGTCCATCACCTCAATCGACTCTGCAGTCACGCCCGAGAAACTGAGCTGTTAAACTTCTCATATCTGACGTGTGAGAGTCAGAGTCCGGGGATGAAGAGAACAACACGCTGCGACTCTCGGGACGAGCGGAGATTTCAACAAGCTCCCGAGATATGACAGAAGTGAAAGGGTTAGGAAAACTAAACATTTCCATTTTACATCTAATTTGTTTTATTTTTTAGCCAATTCAGTTTCAGAAGTTTGGAAGAAAGTTGAACCAAATCATTTTGTTTTAATTAATTATCTTTCATCATTACAAGAACTAGAATTTAACATTTATTCAAGAGTAATACGCTGGATTCAGTGTCTGAATGTCTTTGCTCAAACAACACAAAGACATTTAAGCGAGACCTTTTCGTGCTCGGTATCAACCTAAGTATGATTGTATTATGATCTTCTATCTTTTTATGCAACCTCTCTGTTTTGTCCTCTCTTCCACCTCTCCCTTCTATTTCCTCTGTCCCTCCATCTCCCCAAATGCTCACTGTTCTTCTATGTTGTCCACCCGCTCCTCCTCTGCTTTTGTCCCAATCCTTGTCTCACCCTGTCTTCCTTCCTCTCCCCTGTAACCCCTGATCTCTCCCCAACACTCCTCCACCCTCCAGGACACGCTCAGGGAGTGCCCTCCAGGCCGCCCGGGCGGCGACTACGGCTGCCACGCCGGACTGCAGTTCATCTCTCCCATGTATTTTGTGTCCTTCGTGCTCACGGCTCAGTTCGTCCTGATAAACGTGGTGGTGGCCGTGCTCATGAAGCATCTGGACGATTCCAACAAGGAGGCGCAGGAGGACGCCGAGATGGACGCCGAGATCGAGCTGGAGCTGGCTCAGGGAGGCCTGTGCTGCATGATGGGAGGCATCGGAGCCATCGCTGGGGCCACGGGCGGCCCCGCCAGTGGGGCCGGTGGGGCCAGCGTGGGCGGAGGAGTGTCTGGTGCCATCACGGCGGGGACGGTTGCAGGACCGAGCGGCGTAGTGATGGCACCGCTGCGAGATGGAGGAGGAGGCTGTGCAGCTCATGAGGGACACGCACACCATCGCTGTCGGCTCTACTCTCCGGCTCAGGTAAGAGGCGTTTTCAAGAGTATCATTTCTTTTTTCTTTTCAAGTTTCTGTGGACTCGGCTCACTAATCAACCCCCCTCACCTTCCAGAGCGCCACAGAGGGGATGTAGTTCAGTGGGAAACGCTGCCATGAGTGTTGGCTCTCGTTCTTTCGCTCCCTGATTGCCGTGTCTCACACAGAGAGTCAGTGCAGCCACATCTGTGATCACACTCACCGCAAATTATAGTACCTGCAGATGAAAACAGGTATTTTTAGACGGGCGCTTGCTGTGGCAGAAAGAAAATGAAAACAGGTAAATAAACAAAGATGGAAACAGAGGAGAGGTGATAGATGTTCTGTATTTATCTCGAGCTTTATTAGTCTTGATGACCACTCAGAGTGCTTTACAGAGCGAGTTATTTCTTTTCACTGCATCTAGGGGCAATTTTGGGTTCAGTATCTTGCCCAGGGACACTTCGCCGTGCTCTTTGAAAAGACTGGGATCGAACAGCCGACTCTCTGGTGAGAGCCACAGAGAAAACAGGAAATGGAAATTGAGAGCAACGTGAAGACGAGAGAGGAAGTAAGGTGTCGGCGTGGAAACGGAGCATGTGACTAAGTGACGGCTGCGGCAGGAGAAAGAACAAGAGGCTGAATAATTGAGCGACTAACTGTGTTTGACTTTTTGATTGAGTTGCCTCTGACAGAATGATCTGGAGGTGTGTTTGCACCGCAGCGGGTGTACGGTGGAGTGTTTGCTGTGTCACGTCAGTTTGTTTTGGCGAGTGGCAGCGGAGTCATGTGACCTGCAGTGAGGCTCATTAGAAGGGACCCAGCAAACACAAACACTGATGAACAGAAGCCGAGGCAGATGAAATTTGGCGTCTGAGTGGCAGCTGTGCTTTAAAGCTGAAACAACAAAGAAACTGTCAGGACTGCGGCTCCGATGGATTTCTTCAGATTGTTTATTCACTGAGTTTGAAATCAAAACAACAGAATCTAAAAAGAGACGAATGGTCTCCACGTCCATCCGTTGTTCATAAATTGGGGAATTGTCTTAAAGATATTATCATTATTTCACTAATGTGCAGTTTTTGACAAATTGAGAAATTACAGGATCATGCAATGGAGTCTGGGTAAAACGTTCTGTAAGGCCATGTATTTATGGTCCTGTGCTAAACCTTCAATTAACGTTCACGGTATATTTATCAGAACCTTTTCTGTTGCTGTGGATCAGAAGCCGTGAAAGCGAATCAAAACAATAAAGAACCATTATTTTCCGCTTCCTGGAGCTGAGAGAATCTAGAAAACAATTTGGTTTGTAACGATAAGTTAAACCCTTTTTCACTTTGTCGACCGTCGATATAAAAATATTGATTAAAGCAGCTTTAAGCTATAAGTTGTTCGAGGTTTTGCAATAAAACCAGATTTTACTTAAAAATTACTTTAAAAAAGTTTCAGTCCAACTTTCCGATCATTCGTTACCTGCACATTTTAAATAAAGTCAACCCAAGAATCCCGAGCCGCGTTTGACGTCGGTGATCCTTTCAGAAGCCGAACCCAGTTTATTTGAAACTGTGCCAAGCTAATGAACCCGAGTAATCTTTTGTACTTTCATTCATACCAGAGGAAATTAACTTTGTCATCCATCAGAGAATGACACTGAATCGATGGGTGAGAGAAGAGGGAGGAGAGAACAGAGGGACGGGCTGGAGAGCACAGTGAGATTGTGAGTGGGTGGAAGAGTCTGTCACAGTCTCATTGTCCTCAGAGCTTATTGTCTCTCAGATATTTTTAACCACCAGTAAACCACAGATCATGTTTCTCTCTATATGCTCTATTCTTAAAATCTCTACTCCGATTAGCCAGCGAAGACTTTGTCCGTCAGGATTTGCATCCGCAGTCGGACTCGATGTGCGGAAACAGACTCGGATTACGCAAAACAAGAAGATGGATGAACAAAAATGAGAATGTGCTTTTAAAAAATAGTGTCAGTCAAGTGAAGAGCATCAAGAATCGACTGTCTAAGAGAACAAATCAGCAGAAAACAGACTCGTGTGTTCCCTCGTATGAGCTCGTGAAGAACAGTGAGAGCAAACAAGCGAAGAGAAGCACAATGCTCATTAAAACAACTTATTTCAGTCTTATTACTGTTCAGTCAGAGAATCCTCTGCAGAAAACTCATTAGAGCTCCAGAGATCACTCAGACTCCCTGTGGAGAGAAGTTGGGATGTATTTATTTTAATGAATGTACAGATAACATGAGGAAGTACACAGTTTGTATAAGATCATATATATATATACATATATATATTTAATTATATATAGGCAGTGTCAAAGTGAGCATTTCCTCCAGTTTATTAGCTCGGCCAAGGAGGTTTTCACAGTAAAACAGAACAGGGAATAATTCACGGATCATGATGATGATAAACATCAGGCACATTTACAGAAGTGTGTGAAATTCTGTGCAGCTTGATTGAATATACTGGACTAGTGTGTATCATCTGTATAGAGGGTTTATATTCGTGTGTGTGTGTGGGTTTGTGCACGTTTGTCCATTATCTTAAACAATCATTTCACATTTTTTATTGAATCTTCACAGACTGACTAGTTTTTTAATCATTATCTACGAATACACTCTTTTTCAATCATCACATGATGGATTTGAAGGAAAAGAAGAGTTGTTCGGTGTCAGTGCACAATATCAGCTGTGTCAGGTTCAGAGTAGATGAAAGCTTTGCCGGATGAGAGAAGCCAGTGCAGTGAATCAAACAGGGTCATGGGCATCATTTACCACAACCACGGCCCCCGAGCTCAGCCAATCAATCAGGCTGCCTTACCCCTCACTGTGCGGCTCCCGCCACTTGAAACAACGTGTGTGTGTGTGTGTGTGGGCTCCTAGTGCATCATGGGTGCTGCCAAGGACTGACTATCGACTGGTTCTCCTCTTCACCTGGCAGTAACTCTCATGTGGAGGGAGGGGAGGAGCTGATAAGGAGAAATTCAACTTGGAGGTTAAAAATCCAGATGATGTTTGGAAAATAAAGAACCACAGAGACTAATCCTGGAGCCAAAGTTTAATAAGAGGTTAATACGTAAAACGGACAATAAAAGATCAGATATTTTGTGGTTCAAAAGTCTTTATTAACTTTAAATAAGCCAATTAACAGGTATCACTGTCCCCTGGTGGTTGTGTGGTAGTTTGCGCCTCCACCTTCATGTGGCTTTGTGGTTAGAAAAGTAAAATTCAACAGCTCATTAGCTAAAAAGCAAATAACACACAAGTTTGTATAATGTTTTATTTTGCATGACCTTTAAAACTTCCCCTGACTTTGTAAAATAAAATAAAATCAAGCGCTGACATTCTGGCTCGATTTGAAGCAGCTGCAAAATAACAGCAGCTCCGACAGACGGCAGTTAATTAATGAACGTGGTCAGAGCAAGTTTTACAAAATACGGCGAGAGCAAAGAAGAGGGTGAAGGGAGAGAGCAGGGGAGAGTATCTGATATTTGAGTACCAAGGAAGAGACAGTGAGTCAGTGCATGTGTTTCTGTAAAATAAGTGAGGGGGCCGAAATGGAGGAAAACGTGATTCTGCTGAAAGACGTGGGACATGTTGACAAAGTGAGAAATGAAATGTGTCATGACGCTAGAAAAACTGACAAGCAGAAGTTTAAACCGAGTGGATGGGGACGTGTTTTTGTTGCTTTCATAATAAACTGTGTAACTTTTCCTTTTCTACGAACAGTGAAAATAACGGTTGAAAGAAATAATTCACATTTTAAGGATTATTCAACGTCTCTCTCTTTGTTTGTATGATGACGGGACACTGGCAGGTGTTGCATTATAATATTCTATACGTAGTTTGTGGAGGGGTCTGGAATCTGTCCCCTCCCTCCCTCTCTCTCTCTCTCCCTCCCTCCCTCCCTATCTCTCTCTGATGTTTAAGGTCTTCACCCTCTGTGTAAATTTCCTTGAGACAATACTCATAACACAAATTGAAGTGAACTGTGTGTGTGTGTGTGTGTTGCAGGAGAGCCAGTGGCTGGACAGTGTGTCTCTGCTGATTAAGGACTCGTTGGAAGGGGACATGATTGACAACCTCTCCGGTTCAGTTTTCCACCACTACTGCTCCGCTCCCGTCTGCAAGGACTGCAAGAGTCACCTGCAAGAGGTGAGTGGGGGTGCACACACACACACGTATATACATACACATCCATCTTCTCTCTCTCTCTGTTTGTAGCTTGAAATCTATAATTAACCGTGTGTTGACCCTGGAGAAAGCGTTTGTAAGGTCGATACTTGTCAGTCTGGATCCGTCTTTCACATTTTTTTGTTTACCAATGAGCACTGGGTTTAAAGTTTCCCTTTTCCGATATTCACTCATGAATCTGGAGCAGCAGCTTTTTGCTCCTGTTGAATTTTAACCGTCTTCGTGTTCTGTCGTCTTCCCTCCTTTCATCTCCATGTTTTATTCACCCTGCAGCTCGACGTGTTCAAATAGCAGCGGTGAGATAAAACCTGAGGCAGCGCAAATTCATCAATCACACGAAATCTGCATCGCTCACACACGCAGACGGATGAAGGCACCGGCTGTGGCCTGTTTGATCCCCAAACTCCCGATGAAATAATGCCAATGATTTAATAATGACAATCAAGAGGCGAACGTTCTTCAATCCTCTTGAAGGGCAGCTCTTTAAATTTTACAACCAAAAGTCAGAATGGGTGTAAATATAGTTTTTAAAAGCACAGAAGCACAAACGTAACTGTGAGTAAAACACTTGTTACAGACAGATTTGTGAGACGCGCAGCGTTCAACGGTTCATGTTTGTCGTCTCGTCTGCTGTTTTATTTATATTTTTTATTTATCATAAATAATTTGACGTTAACATCTCACTGTTCTAAAATATAATATATCGACCAATATCATTGATTATATGATGGTATTGTAAATGTGTATTTGCATCAGCCCCAAAACAAATATCATTACAGGACAGAATCACAGAGACAGACATATCGTGAGTACAGTCGCTGAACACATACACAGAATCAAACAAGCCACTCGGCTGCAGTGTTCAGCCGGACGCTCCATCGAGCACATCGAGTGTCCGCTCAGACAAAATCCTTTCAGCCGGCGAGGGATCGTAAACTTGCAGGAGGGATTAATCTGTCAACTCCCGCTCCTTGAGTCGACAACTTCCTCAGCGGAAGTGGAAGTTAGCAGCAATAAGAACTGTGCTGTGGAGGAGACTGTCCATCCCCACCTGAGAGTTCAAGTGTTTGGGTTAGGTATTTTATATATTGTTGATATTTGATGATACTGAAATAACCCCAGTTGGCTGAGTTAGAGATGATATTTGCCCTTTTTAACATGGACTCCTGCAAATGTCTGAAAAATTGGGTCAGAGTTTGTCGTTCGCTTTAGAAGCAGCAGATTGTCTGACTGTGGGGAAGCTTCAGGCGAGGGGCGGAGAAAACTTCATCAACGCGTCCACCTGCTCGCCGTTCTAACGGTATTTTCACGGCTGCATGGACGAGATGACGAAATTCATTTTGTATCCCTCAGAGTTAGAAGTTTCATAATACACAGTTTTACACATGAAGTCGTATTTTTACATGTTGCCCTAAAGCTCTTTATTTAAAACAAAGATGCAGTAAATACTCAGTTATTCACTATAAAGGTCGAGCAGCTATATCCCACTGAAGAGCCTAAACCTGATCACATTATTTTCTGTGAACAACCTTGACAGCTTTTCCCTCACTCTCTCTCTCTCACACACACACTTTCTCTCTCTCTCTCTCTCTCTCTCTCTCTGTGTAAAGGTCCAGTCACACGTCGCAGCCGAACGATTTACACACTAAACCTTATTTTCTCCCTCGTGACTCACGAGGACATGTGAACATATCAGAACTAAAACCAATTTCAGCTCAGAGCGGACGTGATTCCGTGATGTCAACCTGATGTATGTGCAGATTGCATATTTCTGTGTGTGAGTGTGTGTGTGTGTGTGTGTGTGTGTTAGAAGGCATGTGAAGTAGTGTGACCCACCAGGGAGACTTGTATCTCCGTCGTTAAATTACTATCTACATACATATAATGAACTTCACACAGGACCTCTGCCTATTTACTCTTCTGCACAAAATGCCACAACACATTCGTAAGAAATTTAGTTTACGGCTGGAAGCAATTATACAGCAGGAGAGAAAAGAGATTCTTACAATTCAGTAACGAGCGTGTAGCTCGGGATCAATTCTCAAAATAGCAGCCTCAGACGTAGTTTCTGCCAAATGTCCATCTGGTCTAAAGCTCATGAGCTTTGGCATCAAGTCTCAGATGATTTGCTCGAACAGTGTGAGATGGAATTGAACTTTCTTTTTTAAGTGAACTTTTGCAGTTGCTCTCGTACTTCTTGTATATTTGACCTCTCTCATCCGCTTTCTGCCTCTGACTCAGTATCAAGGTGTGTGTTACCTCATACACTGTGGATGCTCCTGGCTTTATTGTGTGTCTGTGCGTCAGATCCGATTGGCTGAGGTGGAGCAGGCGTCTCTCATGTCGGAGCAGCTGTCAGACAAGTCATCGTCCCCGGCGCTGCCTGATGACCTCAGCCTCGACGAACACAGCGGCTACCAGCTGGTCCGAGACAGACAGGTGCACACACACACACACACACACACACACACGCACACACACACACACACACATCAGAGCATGCTCATGTCAAGAGCACAGAGGGAGGCAGGTGTTTTAATCAGGCAGTAAAGCATGTAAATAGTAATTAATGATGATTAACAAGATGGAAGAGGTGTGATGACACGAGCTGTGAAGCCCCAGAGACGTGTGTGTGTGTGTGTGTGTGTGTGTGTGTGTGTGTGTGTGTGTGTGTGTGTGTGTGAGTGTGTGAGAGAGACAGTAATCTTATTTCTTATTCCGGTGGGGACTTTGAATTAGGATTGCGGTCCCCATGGCAGAGACAGATTTTTGAGGACTTGGACATAAAGATTAACAACATGACGGCTCCAGTCAAGTGAAGTCAAAGCGTCTCAATTGCCCCCTGGTGGCTGGCTGCAGTGTAGGTTATAACCGTCCCCATGTTGGTGAATGGGACATGAGCCAAACAGAAAAGTCAGAATACCTGTCAATTTTTTTCTCAAATATTTTAAAGCATTTTAAGGGAATGAATGCAATATGTCAACGAGTGTCCCCTCAGGGATAGAACATGCCTGTGTGTGTGTGTGTGTGTGTGTGAAAGCACATCTTTCATATCTCCATCTTCCCGTGAGCACTCTGCTCTCCTCTCACAGCGGTTCCACCTGGCCCGTTTCATCAGCGCCGTTATTGACGGCCTGTTCATTTGATCCAGTTTACAACCAACAACAACAGCCGAGCAATTTGAAGCTTTGAAGCCGCCGTTACGTTGTTTTCACCACATCAGACTTGTGTCGATGGATAAAGGAGGGGACATGAAAAGGAAGCTTTTTGAAATTGGAAACAAATTGTACTCAGATTTCTATTATGACAAGGGGGGAAATGAAAGGCTTCAGTTCATATCTGAACATCAGTGCACCTGGGTACCAGGCTTTTTCTTTCTCCGTCTCTTTGTCTCTTCTTCTCTTTCACTCGCTCATTTATCTTCAATGTCCCTCTTCTGTTTTCTCCTCCTCGTTGTCAGATGGGCAGCAGTCACTCCCACAGTTCAGAGGAGCTGCCCCCCCAGGTGGGCTACACAGGGCTTCGTCCGTCCAGCTCAGGAAGCGAGGAGGGGACGCAGGAGGAGTTGTTTGAGGTCGGCGTCCAACCTCAGTTAAATCCCCCCTCGCTGGAGCAGCAAAGCCCGACGCACTTCACAGGTAACAGAGTAAATATAATGAACACGCAGCCTCACACCAGGTCCTTAAACCTTCTAGGGTTCATGACAAATAACCAATCCCCTTCTTTTGTCCTGATGTGAAGAATAATTGCAATATTCAAAGTACAATAATCTCTCATTCAACACCAGTGAAATCAATTAAATCACATTAAAATAATCCCTCTCAGGGTTACCTTTCTTTATTAACGTTATTATGGCGCCGGGTGGCCCTCGCTGGTATTTAACCACCACGATTCCATTAAGCCGTGACTTTGACGTGACATTGATAATATGGTTTAAATCACATGAGGCTCTTTGTCAACGTCTGTGGCCTTGAAGCAGCTACGTGTGTGATATTCAACACAGTTGATTGACTTCCACTGAAATTAAAGCGGTGATAGAAGAGGCCGACGCAGAGATGTTGATGAATGACATGTTATGAAATGCAAAGCAGGGAGACGTTCAACAAAACACAATGTGTGAGCGATGTGGACTGGATGTCACTAAAAATAAGGAGTTCTGAGAAACACTTTTAAATGTATTGCAGAGCTCACAGGCAGCCGGTGGGAAGATTTGAGTCAAATGTAGTAAAAGGTTAAATACAGAAGGCTCTCCCTTGATTCTCACTGACAGTTGCGATGAATGAATCTGTGCAAAGATTTGAATAAGAGGTGATTTCTGACTTATTCCATAATAAACCAAAAATCTTAGGTTTGTTCCTCATATAGATGAAGACATTTGTCAGATCATCGGTTAGAGCAGGGTTAGATAGATTTACAAGGTCACCTGTGTAGCAGTGATAATGACTCATTCCATGTTTGAAGATGACAGAACCTAATGGCAGCAGAAAACAAAGGGTCCCTGGACTAAACCTCGGGGTCTCCAAGGAAAAACTAAGTTAGGTTCAAGGTTGGACGTGAAACAGTTACAGAAACCCAATATTTATTGAATCGTTCTGCCACTGAATTAAGGTGCTTGACTATCAATTCTGTCAGGGGCATTTCCACCTCGACACAATAATGGAACATGACGCAACAATCGACTGAATATAAAATATTTAAGTTGGCACTTAACAAAACTGTATAAAACTATATCCCTCTCTTCTCAGACGGAGATGGAGAAAGTTGCAGTGGAGGAGGTGGTGTTGGTGGTGGTGGTGGTGGGTCGTCGCCCCTCTTCCACTTACCAGCAGACTTCTTCCACCCGGCTGCCGCGGCTCATCCGGGGAGTCCGGGGAACAGCGTCGCCCCAGGAGACCGGGGGGCTTCCATGTTGGCCTCTCCAGCCTCCTGGGCGTCCCTCCGCTCACCCGGAGCCAACAGCAGGCCCCTGAGCTCTCAGGTATTAGGAACAGATGAATGGACTCGTGTGTGTGTGTTGGACGGTTGGATGGAGAGACAAATCAACACATCAGTGACCAGACTGAACAGTGTAAACAGATGATTCCTGAGAGATCGCTCAGTGAACCAAAGTTGTCATGCATCAAACACACGTCAGGCAGTCAGATGGGATTTGCCAAATGAGGTATAATGTGGAGCGAGCGTGTGATCTGGAAGCTTGATTCTCTAACCTGCCTCCGCCTGTAGCTGCACACAAAACCAAGGCAGCAAGTTACAACTCAAAATATACATTCATATATTTTGAGTTGTTATTTTCAACAGTAAATAAAACTTATTTAAATCCACTCGACCGTGGAGTGACATCAGATTAGATTGTGTGATGTATCCTTCAAACACTACAGTCTGAACAATGGCTGATCAGCTCTAATTAAAGCCAGGAACTCATCGACGCTGACGTTACCGGGAAACAAACCACAATGAAAAGGCCCTTATTTTCGTCCTTGTAACCATGGAGACAGATTTCTCTTTCTGTCTCTCTACCTGTTTGGTTTGTTTTCGCTCGTGCCTGAGAGCCTCTGTGATCCTCAGCTGCTACAGTAATGCTCTGCGGCACTCAGCTAATTAGCCCGGCCGTCCCTGAGCTTGATACCGACTCTGTGCACATTGTTGCTCTTGGCTCGTACTCTTCATGTCCCCTCTCTTCTCTTTCCTTTATCTCCTCATGTCCTTCTCTGGAGTTCTTTGTCTCTTTCAGCCTCGTCTCTCTTTCTTCTGTCTTTCGTTTCAGTTTCTGCCAACCCCTCCATTTCTCCCTTTTCATAATCTCTCCCTCTCCCCTGTGGTCTCGTGTACTGAGAACATGCTGCGTAACAGTGCCAGCGTTAGCAGTGACGGTTAACACCCTCCTGCCTGTGGAACGTTTGGAGTCAAACTAATTCTTAAAGACACAAAGTTAAAAACACAGTTTAAAATTCTGTTGCATCCAAAACATCAAACACTAAATGGTTTAAAACTCTCATATCTGCTGCTCCACATTTTAATGTTCCAATTTGAACTGTTAGCTCTGTGATTCTCTGAGCGGTTGAGGTGGTTCTTTGAAACAACAATGGCTGCTCTGAGAGGCTGCATGGACGGAACCAAGTGAGCACCGGTCCTGAGAAAGAAAAAACAAGACTGAGTCCTGTCGAGTTTTTTTAAAATTCTTTTCTACGAGTGTATTAAATTGGGGTTTATACTGAAACAGATATTCCAGGATTTGATTCAAACTGAAACACAGATGGAATTAAATCTAAAAACCCACACTTTAACTTTTCCCTTTTC